CAACTCACCAGTACTACACCCTGCCGACGAGTTGACTGCACACGATTGGAGACGTATCGCCCCTGGCGAGGCGAGACCAATGTCCTCCCCTCCCAGTGGGAATTCACGCGCACGGCAACGGCAGGGTAACATGCGCCAGAGGAGCGGGCCATTTCTCTCTTTTTTTAGGGAAATAGGAGCGGGCCATTTGTTTATCGGGCGCGGCAGCTTCGCGGATTTGGGGGCCGTGGGTCCGTGGGGGCGAGATTCAGACGGAGACAGGGGTTTAGTTGGGGGGATGCGGCGGCGTAGTACGGCGTCAGGCACGGCATCAGAGATGCAACAACCAACCCGTACGAAGTCGCGTCGTGGATCGTCTCATCCGGACAGCGGCAGCGGCAGCAGAGCCAGGCTAGCTGGAGCCAGCCGGCAGCGCTGCAAGTTGCACGCGTCCGGTGGCAGCGGCGTCCCAAAACGCGTGAGCTCCTGTGCCATGCGTAGCTCGGACCTCGGAGCAGTGGAAGAAGGCGATGGTGTCGATCGACTGAACCGCAACCGCCTCGACGACGATGGTGGCGTGGGTAGGGTAGGGTACCTGCCGACGACGACGATGTTACACAGCAGTAGAGCACGCGTGCACACCTGTGGAGTGGTAAGAACGTATCACGGTATCACGCTTGTGCACAACACCTGCCGACTAACCGTTGGAGAGCAACGGGTGATGATATAATCACGGTTAATTATCCAGGCAGGATCTCCATGAAAGTAACCCCACCGTGAAAATTTGGTTATCCAGATGATGATGCTACATGAATCTGAACGCATGCCATCCAGTGCCCGAGGGCCGAGGGTCAACACGCCACGTGGTTACACGACTTGCATCACCACATACGCACGCATTTTCTCGTACCACAACCAACCTACATGTAACATGCACGTCCACTTCAGAGTTCACAGAGGCGCCTTTCTCGACCGGACACACTCTCTTTCATCAGACACTTTGGCAGACAGACAGCTGGGCGTGGGCAGGAAGAAAAACGACCTAATCATAACAAAGCACGCATTAGATTTCTCACATCTCTCTCTCTCTCTCTCTCTCTCTCTCTCTCTCTCTCTCTCTCTCTCAGAGAGAGAGAGCAAATCAGATCGGCCCACGGCAGGCTGCGTGCGTGGCCCACGCCACGCTCACGCGTTTTAACAGCCTAGCTGGCGGGACTTAAGCCCCTGGCTGACTGACATGACGTAGTAGCCCTGCAGTGGCTTCCTGCTCTCTTTTATTCGGCGAGGCTGGGGAAATGGACAGCGCGAATATATTATCGCCATCTTTTACAGGCTTATCTTCGTGCAGCTGGAAGGCATCACGACTTGAGGAGCCGGGTGACACAGGGGCATGGAGTGGATCGGCCGGAAGGAGCGGAGAAGCTTCCCCGGATGGGAGAGAAGCAAGATTGCAACTAGTGTTTTTTCTATAGGATTATTATTCGCATGATTAGAGTCATTTTCTTGTCACTGCTACATGGTCGCCTGTACCATGAAGGAATCCTTGGTTCGAGCCCCGTGTGGAACTGGAGGGTGTCGCGTTGGTCCGACGTGCTCGTGACGTGCTCAACCGCTCATCCGGACGAGTGATGGTGCTATGTCCAGCGCACACGATCTCATCTCAGCTGACGGCCCCCGGAGCCACCGTATCTGTTCATGACAAACAGCTGCAACCTGAAATACCAACGTACTGCATGCATTTTTCCCACCATCCAAACGATTCATGTCCAAATCTTTGCCCCGGATGCGAAACAATCTACTTCCTGCAAGATGGGGCAAAGAACAAATGCAGCAGAACCATTTACGATGCTGGGTGTCTTGTTTCAAAAAGCACTTCTGCTTTCCCTCGGCAGACATGATACCAGGCTACCAGCAGACCATAAATGGAGAAATATCGTTTCAACCGTAGACCTTACACATCGACTTTGTTACAGTTCGTAACTCTGTATTTACATTACATACAAATTTAACCTGCGCCGAGATCATCATCTGCAGATTTCCATTATTTCAGAGATCATCATCCGCAGATTTCCATTATCCGCAGATTATGTGGTTGAGCCCGAACCAATCTAACTGTAGGTTGGAGCATGATAGTTGTGGGCGTCCGAGTTCTCTTGCTACATTCAATTTACATGTGACGGGAGTACAACAATGGTAGAATTTATGTGTCTATTTTGAATCAGCCTTTGAAGGAGCTTAGCGCCCTAATAAGATGTTCATACACTTCGATGCCCCCCAGGAACACTTTGTCCTCCAGAAACTGCGATTTTGAGATAAAATTGACTCAGCCATCACACTATGTAAACAGAAATTACAATAGCAGGCAAAGATCAATTACCTCATTATGATCGTGAAGTAAAATTGGAGTATTTATCATTGGAGAAAATCCAAGGGCTGGAACACCCATCTGCCTCACGAATCGGGCGTCCGTGGTTGAAGATAAGATCTCAGGCTTTGCTAGTTTTCCACCCGACGAGATAATAGCCTGTTCAAATACAGACCACCATGGGTTTGACTCATTGGCTGGTGTAAGTAAGGGACGTCCTGTAACATCCCTCACTGGTCCTTTCTTCATCAGCTGTACAATACAAAGACAGGAACTTAGAAAATCAAGTAATAGAAGAAGACTGCCAATGCAAAATTCGATTTATATTCCATTACCCACATAAAAGTTAAACTATATTCACCTGGTAAGTCAAGTTCTTATGAGCTGGTGCCCATTCTTCTTTGATTCTTCTTTCGATCTGTTCAATATCTTCGGTTGGAGGAAGGCGGAGATCAAAACCCACCTCTGCTTCTGAAGGTTGCATATTCATCACAAAGCCCTGCATCGATTAGTCTTTAGAGACTACACAGAAGCCATGTGTAGAAATGAATAGATTCTGTGACAATGTTGATTTTTGGCGTATGCCACTGTCTATACCAGACCTCTATTAATTTGTCTTATTGTGATGGGTTTGGCATCTCGAGAACATTACAAAGATAGCAGCAGTGCAGATAAAGTGCAATAAAATAGAGCATGCCTAATGCAGGTTTGCTTTAGTGCCTCACTGACATTGATAGTTAGACCTTTGACCAAGTGCACGTCTGCTTAAAAGAACTGCAGCTGCTGAGCTCTGGACCAATGTGTAGACAACTGAGCAAATCAACTTTTGCTCAGATTTGATGGTTAGGAGCAACCAACCAGATGCATTCATCCCTACTCTGGGTTAATGGATCATCAATTCAGCATTCACCAAACTGCAAGACGAAGGACCACTTCCACTCCAGTATCGTTGGGCTAGAACAAACACATAAAAATTATTCTACTAACTACATGCATGATGAGAAATAATCATGGTGAATAAGCTCGCATGACCTATCTCTATACATAGCCTAAAAGTTCTGAAAGTTCTTAAAGAACCCAGCTTGTCACAATCAGATTGATTCTAACTTTTGCTTCAAAAATTACTCTACTACCTACATGCATGATGATAAATACTTCCTCCGTAAAGAAATATAAGAGCATTTATAGATCACTAAAGTAGTGATCTAAACGCTCTTATATTTCTTTACAGAGGAAGTAATAATTATTGTGAATAAGCTCACATGAAGCCCTATATCTATACATAGCCTAATAGCTGTGATATTTTAAAATAAACTTTCAACGATCAAATTGATTCTAACATTGGCTTCAAGAACTATTCTAACTTTTCCATAGCGAAAAGTGGAAGCCAAAGTTAAAATCAATTTGATAGCAAATACTGGATTTTGCCAGAAAATATTATGAATACTAGGTTACAGAAAGAGATGGGACTCCCAACGATCTCATACATGTACTAGGATATATATTCATGTCTGATCTAAGCAAGGATATTGGAAAGAAGGATTGGAGGTGTAGAAATACGTGGGTATTAAGCCTTGCAGCTTGGTCAATGGTGATCCTTTAATTCAGAAATTTGGATCAGGGCATGGTCTATGCAAGCAGTTGGGTGCTCCCAGCCATATAGCTAAACTGCACTTGTTCGGTGCTCAACTCATCGTCCAGCAGGACCACGTGCATGCAAATATCACACTACAAGAACTACATACTTGCCTGAACATAGAACATCCAAGTTAATCAGACTACAATGTTCTGTGTTAAGATGATTCAAATGCCTTAACAAAAACATTGGTTTGAGAGAGAGAGAGAGAGAGAGAGCAACATAAGACCAGTTAATAAATCTAAGATAGGAACTAGTTGCTAAAATGTTTATTATGACCCAACAGTTTGGGCCCAAGACATGATTTGATGAGTGGGTTGTGTCAATAGAATAGATGTTCATAATGCTGTTACCTTTTCTTTTAAGGAAAGGACAGTAGGAGACGTATATTTTAATGGGTGAAGAAATTACATAGTTTTATTGCCTTGCGTTATGCTATATTCAGAAAATCCTTTTAAGTTATTCATCTGTCAGAATGACAAGGTCCTCACAACAATAGTGGATAATCTGGAAATTTGTGTAGTCGCTGTCACTATTACCTTGTGATTTGCAAGTAAAAACTTGAGGTGGTCACATTAATTCTAACATTTTGGAAAATCACTTTGAAGACAGTCATCTTGCCAAAAAGGCAAATATGTAGATCTTGCAGTAGCGGGTTAATCCGCAAAATGTGCAGTAGATGTTGCCATTACCTTGTGATCCAAAAAATTTGAATTGTAAAATCTGAAAGGGCAAACAGGCTTCAACCTAGGTTCTTGTATATTGCATAGCAACCCTCTAGTTGATTACAAAGTGTTGTAAATTAAGTTTTAGACCCTGACACCCTGTATTTGTATAATTCCATTTTAGTTTTTTCATGTATTGAATATGTGTACTACAGACCTTATACTGTCAAGAAATTATGTTTTAGACCTTGGTTCCTGGAAATCATATTCCAGACTCTGTGATGTTAATATAATATGGCATATTCTATACATTTGCTTCAGTATTTTCCAAAAATATGCAAGTAAAATAACTATATTTTATACAGTAATTCAAAATTATGGGATCACAAGGTAATGGCAGCATGTACCACACATTTTGCAGATCATCCCATTACTGCAAGATCTACATATTTGCCCTTTTTGTCAAGAGACTATCTTCAAAGTGCTCTCCCAAAATATTAGATTAACGTGACTACCTCAATTTTACTTGCAAATCACAAGGTAATAGTGGCATCTACTGCACAAATTTGTAAATTATCCTCTATTGCTATCAGGTCTAGACCTTTTCATTCCGACAGATGATTACCTTCAAAGTGATCTAAAATATAGTATAAAACAAGGTAATAGAATGATGAACATCTACCGAAAAAAGTCAGATTATGTTTCCTGCATGTCAAGTACTAGGATATTTGTCTGATCTAAGAGAGAATATTTTAAAGAAGGATTGGAAGTGTAGAAATAAGCGGGTCTTAAGACTTGCAGCTTGGTCAGCTGTGATCCTTTAACTCCACATTTTGGAACAGGGGGTGGTCAATGCAAGCAGTTGGTTGCTCCTAGCCATATAGCAAAACTGCCCTTGTTCAATGCTCTGCTCATCGTCCAGCAAGCTCATGTGCATGCAACATGATGCTGGCATGCATGCTAATATCGTACTACATGAACTACATACTTGCATGAACATAGAAGATAGAACATTTAAGTAAATCACACAAGAGTTCTGTGTTTAGATAATTCCAATGCCTTAACCACGTGTTCAAAATATCGGCCGATAAATCAGTTTAACTGACTGCTTAATCCCTGCTTGGTGGGTCGCCGAGTAGCCGATTAACTGATTTATCATCCGATTAATTGGCCGATTCACCTACTAATCCCCTAATAGCCAGTTGACCGAGAAGTTACCAGTTAACGATTTCCTGAACATTGGCCTTAACAAAAACGCTAGTATGAGAGAGAGCGCAACATAAGTTTAGTTAATAAATCTGAGATGGCACTGGTTGCTAACATGTTTTTTGTCCAACAGTTTGGGCCCCAGACCTGGTTTGATCAGTGGGCTTCTTGTTAGTACTCCGAACTCTTTTACCTTTTTGCTTGTTCTGAACTGCCAGTTGCTACGTTGGAAGTAATAGAAAATGATATGATCTCAGTTCATAGAAAAGTTCAATTAATAAAGCAAAAGGAATGGAATAGGCGTAGAGCAGGAGGATATGCTGTGTTGTGGTACTGTTTGGCATGTGTAACAGCAAAGTACTGTTCATGCTGAACTGTGCTTTGTTCTGCTACTGTTAGTTGGAAACTAGACATAAGAATAATGAGCACCGTTGTTAGTTGAGTTTATGTCCTTGGTATATTCCATGTAAAGTAAAAGTTTCGTTACAGTTCAGATTGTAACCTAGGGATTAGATAGAGTTACACAGTCCCTATCAACATGCATCTATTAGTAAAGAAGAATTAATCTACTCTTTGCTAATCTTCTCGCATTCTAATCTATGTTCCTCTACCCTTCCTCCCTTGCACATATTCCAGTTCCCTTGAAGCAATGCCATCTAGCCTTTCCCTGTTAGTTATCCTCATTAGATATGTGTGGGTTTTGCAGTTAGCGCCCAAACACTGTTTTCTACAAAAAAATATCTGGTTTTGCAATTGCCTCCCACAGTATTGACTTACTGACGAAGTGCGTGACGGCATTGCTTCAAGTCTTCATTTTGTACTAGATCTCTTGAACAAATTAATTAGGTTTACTACTTCGACCCATTGATGTACGTTTTGTAGAAAGAATAATTTAGGATAAGCCTACGAAGTTCGTCAGTTTGCACTGGCTGACAGAGCTGATCTCAGTTGTGCTAATAATAATAGATGCTCTATATGATGTTGTCTGACCATCTCAAATTATAATCATTGCTCTCTACTATTTCATCAGCGTGCAGTGAACGAAATAGCTAACAAAGTAACAAGTAGGAGTATCCTTACAGTGGGGCTTGGCGTGCCGGCATTCATGTAGACAGGATTCACGGACACCACCTCTCCGGGACCGTACTTGCCCGACTTCACCTTCTCGAACTGTGCATCCCTGTATCCAGCCACGGTCTCAATGCAATCCATCAGATTCTCCACGGCGGCCCCATCGAACAGCTTCGACCCATGCCCGGGAGCCCCCGTGGCCTTGACGATCAGCTTCCACACCAGCCTATCCGCGTAGAAAACCCTGTAAACATCCGTGAGCGAGGCCTGCCCCTCGTCGAGCATGAACCCGACATTGAGGGCGCGGAACTCCTCCGACTGGACGAACTTCTCGTGGCCGTCCTCGCCGCCGATCTCCTCGTCGGGGACGAGCGAGACGTGGACGGTGCGTGCGGGCGCGAAGCCGGCGGCCTGGAGGCCGCGGATGGCCTCGAGGTACTGGATGGGGAGGCACTTGTCGTCCTGCGCGCCGCGGGCGTAGACGCGGCCCGTGGCGGGGTCGTGGTGCGCGGCGTAGGGCGGGTGGATCCAGTGCTCGGGCTCCGCGGGCACGGAGTCGAGGTGGGAGTTGAGGAGGATGGAGGGGAGCGACGGGTCCGTGCCCGGCCAGGTGAGGAGGAGGAGCGGCTTTGACTTGCAGGGGCTGAAGTGGAGCGTCTTGGAGCTGAGGCCGAGTGACGCGGCGTAGGGGAGGAGGAACGCGGCGGCGCCGGCGTAGTCCGGGGCGGGGTGGGCGGTGCAGATGCGGAGGTAGTCCTGGAAGCGCCGGATTTGGGAGGTCTCGAGCTCGGTGAGCGGGTGGGCCGGGTGCGGGACCACCGCGAGGAGGACGGCGGCGAGGAGGGGGAAGTGGCCGAGACGACGCATGGTGCGCGGTTGGTTGTGGTGCGGTCTGACGCTGCGGAGTGTTTGGACTGCCTTGTTTTGACCGACCGTGATTCGTCTATCCGGCGAAGCCCCACTGGGCACTGTCTAACCATTTTTTAGGGAAGCCCACTGTCTGTGTCTGACATGGCCCGGCCAAGCCTAGTACAGCCCCAAAATCAAGGGTCTGTTTGGTTCATGGCTAACTTTATCACAACTAATCTTAGATAAAGTGTGGTAGCCATAAAAAGTGTGGCTCATAAAATGGCCATCATAAGTGTGACAAGATTTGGTAAAAAGTTAGGCCTATGACATGTGGACCAAGTGGCTAGAAAAGTGTGGCAAGCCACAAATGTGGCAATAAACCAAACATATGCCTAAGTTATTGTGGCACGACTAAGGTTAGGCGTGGCAAGCTTAGGGCGCAAACCAAACAGGCCCCAAGTGCTCTACAGCATGTTTGGCAATACTCCCTCCATCCAAAAAAACTTGTCTCAAATTTGTCCCTCGAATGAATGTATTTAGCACTAACTTGATGTTAGATACATCCATTTAAGAGAAAGCTTTTTCGGACGGGGGGAGTATTTGAGAGGGGGAATGAGAGTTTAAAGTAAGGAGTTGTATTGAGATTAGACATGAGATAAGTCGTTTTATCCCAATCCTCTGTTTGATGCATGATAGGAATTATTATGTTTGACAATTTGCGAAGAAATTGTACTTCCTTATTTGGTTCATGAGAATTGACAAGGAACTAGACAAGAGAAGTTAGGATGAAGGGTTACGATTGACTCACTAAAATAATTCCCTTTCAGCACACTCCCTCGCCTGTTAGTTGGAGTCTCAAGTCTTATGCATATTCCCTTGTGAATTCTCAATCCCTCCAGCCAAACAATAGATTTGAAGTTCCCCTAGCTCCAATTACCCCCAACCAAACACACGGCAAGAAAATACTCCCTCCGTCAAAGCGTAGTATCAAAAACGCTTCTATATTATGGAACGAAGGGAGTAGATGGTAATAAATTTTAATACTAGGAGTATTTCAATTCCCTGGTACCAAAAGAAATTCAGATGAGACAATGATAAAATTTCACAATCTATATATACTATGTCACACACAAAGGCCAAATATAATCCTAGAAGTAGCAGATTTGAAAATATTTCTATTGCACATAATATCATGTATCAAGCACCAAACACCAAGGAACTGCTTGGTATTGAAATCATGTATCTTGTACCAGGGAACTGTTTTGTCCATCACATGAGTTTGTCGAAATAAATACGACAAAACTGTCCTCTTGCTAAGGTAGTTAACAGCACAGGAGTACATGGTGAAACGAGTGAATTCAGATGAGCTTCTTCTTCTGGAAGAAGCCTTGCAAATGCCATAGCTGCAGAGCGGAGACCACAACGCACACGCCCAGTGACAAGATGCTGAACCAGGCAACCCTGGAATTCGTTTTCTCGCTCACTTCCCGCATCTCCGCTTCCCTGCATAAACACATCAAGATCACGCATTATGCTATGCATTGCCAGTTCCAAATATTATATTGTAGTAAAGATAAGTAAAGCTAGTAGGTTTGCTTGTCCATATCCCAAATATCTCATCCAGTACAAAACAGTAAGACCACCTAAGAACTTCAAATAGCAGCTCAATCTACAGCCCAAGACAGATGAGACCCGTAGGTTCTGTTTCACAAATCACAATGCTGTAGTTTCATAGTCACCAACTTTTATATGTAACAGTTAGTTCAAAGTATATTTATATTTAGCCTATATAAAAACATCCAACTGGAAATAGTACAGACTACAGACTCCCCTACCTAAATAGACTGGTGCAACGTAGCACAACGACCACAATCTGTTGTCTGGCTATTAAAACACACACAAAAAGTAGAATAGATAACTTGCCTTGCTTTGAGATATAATAAGTTATGATGAATGGATTCCACTGCAGCTTCAAGTTTCGCGAGCTCTAATTCAACACCCTGAACACAGAAATTTCAGATTAAAATAATCAGGAACAAAAAACAATGCATTACATTGAAGTATAGTGCCATTTGGACTAGGTGTATTTAAATAATTGGCACACCTCAATCTTCTCCTTCTTGGCAACAGAGTCCCAGTCCTTTGTTGCAATCCCTATCTTCCAATCAAGATTTAGAGATACTCCTGATCCTTTCTCTGCGCTGTCTAGCCAGAAGCAAGCAAGGTAGTTTCCAGCTTCTGAAGTTGTAAATGCAAACTGGCCCACTGTGGCATTTTCTTTGTGATGTACAGTATTGCCATATGGTGAGGTAACCTACACAAACATGTACAATACAAATGAGTAAGCAAGAAAAAAAAATTGTCTTCAGAAATCATCATTTCTAAAAAAATATTCCATAAGACTAACTGATATATGGACATGCTATGCTAATTATGTGTGTGAACATTAGCAAAAAAAGTCACCATATTCATACACACTCAGCATGCCAAAGCACCATTTAGCCACCACAAAAGTTTTACAGAAGAAAACATAGGCACCGCAAAAGTAAAATACAACATCCATGTGTTGCTTGCAGAATTCTTGGACATATGAACGACAGAGTTGTGAACATGTGGCTAATCCCAGTTACTTACTGGTACTTTTCCAGTTATGAGCTACAATACACATGTATCATCGAATCTCTGGTTCCCTGGATTGCGCAACACACATCATGAGTCTGAAATCTGAAGTTCTCATTATCTACAACAGGATGGGTGAGAAGTGGGACCTTATGTCATCTCCCTGTATGTTCATCCGTCTGCCCACATGCAAACATGATTGCATCTTACCAGAATCTCATCAGCCCATCCATAGCGGTGATAATGAATAACAATCCATCCCTCGCTTGTTTTCTTAACCCCAATCATCTTTTATTAGTCTCAGTACCTACGACCATGCTATTCTAATAATAGGTGCCAGGTGCCCAAAGAGTCCTGCAGCTGCAGGTCACGTTACTTGGGATATTGCTACATGCATAGAAATTATCAGTCCACAGCATGTTGCCCCGATGTGAAGCAACTAGGAAGTGGCACTTTGGGTCAATTCGCATCAAGTCCACCATGTCTAGCTCAACGGTTCAAACCTCAGCTGCTTCCTCCAGAACAAAGCACTGGAGCATATGAGCAGATTCATGACAAACTACTGGAGTACTGGATTAACATCATTTAACCTTACCATAATCCACATAGCACAGACCCTGTGCACCAACTTACACTAAATGTAAAACTTTTGCCTGTTGACTTCTCTAGGAGATGTTAACTTAAGCTGGTCAGTTTTCTCTTCTAAAAATGCCCAAATTCAATTGCCACGGAGGCTCTAATTTTGACTCAAAAAGTTCAATCCACCAACTAAACTTAACACAAATAATTAAAACAAGCTAGTATCTATCGCCCCCAAATTCGCCTGCACCTGGATCCCAACACGCGAGAGTTCACCGGTCTAGATCAAGATCAAACCACTGGAACAAGAAAGCAAACATGCGAAGACGAAGGGAGGGGATCGCGCCGCGCTTACCTTGACGGCGACGGTGGGGTGGGCGGTGGCGTGGGCCTCGTACATGAGCATGTAGTCCGCGACCACCACCACGTTGGGCTGGATCTCCTCGGAGACGCACTTGGTCCCCGAGGGCGGCAGGTCGAGCCACACCGCCTCCGAGCCCAGCATCATCAGCGCCGCCACGAGCGCCCCCACCACCAGCGCCGGCCGGGTCGCCGCTCCCGCTGCCGCCGTCATCTGCTCCGATCTGGGCGACCCTGTCTGTCCGAGTCTCCGGTTGGGGAAATCGTGTGGAGCTTGGACTAGCGTTGGACGGTAGTAATGGCGTGGCGTTGGCCCGGGGGAGGGTCTTTTTGGAATTATGTACTCCGTTTGGGTGCACGCGAAGAAATTCCTTACCCACGCGCTACGTGCTGCTTTTTTTTGGCCCGAGGAGCGCCGGTTTCTACTGTTTTCGCCGAAGGCACAGCTAGTGGGCTGGACTATCTGTATCGCCTGTAATGGGCTCGGAAGGCTCGCTCTCGTTTTGTGAATAACCGGTTTTTTCTTCTTTTGGGGGCAGGTTTTTGTTCATTTTTTTAGTTTTAAATTTTAACTTTAAAAATCCATGAACTTTTAAAAACAATCCTGAACATTTTTAAAATCGGTGAAACTTTTTCAAATTCGTTTTTTCTAATTCGTCAGAATTTTTTAATTTACATTTTTTATAATTCGTGAACATTTTTTGAGTTCGTGGAATTTTTTAAAATCATGAATTTTTTTAATTCATGATTTTTTTTGAATTCATGAACTTTTTTATTTTTGAACCTTTCAAACTCAGAAGCATTTTATTTGAATATGTGGATTTTTAAAATTATACCCAAAAAACTGAGAGCTGCTTTTTTAGCTAGCAGCTAGCGCAAACAAAATTTTGGCTAGCTAAACCACACGAGCGAAGTAGCGAGAGCGGCGCTAATGGACTACGGCCCAATAACTATCGCATGGGTGTTGGTTCCCCAATCGACGCTATAAAGGATGAGGAGGAGCGCCCTATGCTGGCTGCATTAGGTTATGCACCAGAACAAAACTATGCTTCATGCATCAAGCACAAAACTGAGCTTCTTCACCAAAATTCCTATGGGCCAAATCGTGTTGCGGTCATCCTAGATGGGACTACACCAAGACCAAGAACTACGAAGATCAATGTCGACGCAGGGATATATAAGAATATGTGTGTTGGTTTGCTGGTGGCAGTGACAAGAGATGACAACGGTGTCTTCTTGGGAGCATCTACACTGTTCTTCGAGGAATTGTCCTATCTGTAAACCCTCCAAGCATTGGCATGTTGAGAGGCGTTGTAGCGGAATATCCCATATTACATAAAATCACAATTACAAGAGATTGTCGGGTTGTTGTGATGATTCTTCAGGCATCGTCATCGATTTTGTATGGACACATTTTGATGGTACAAGGGAGGGATAAGGCTTTTCGGGAAGTTCATTTCATGCACGAGAACATGAAGTCAAAAAATATGCTCATAACCTAGCTCGTAGCGCTTTGTACCTTCAGTTGGCCGTAACATTTGGCTAATAGTTCCCCCAAGGAAATTTGTATTCATCAAACTATCATTAGCTAATAAAGAGTAGGTGCACTCTAAAAATTGTGTTACGGTCACCGCGTTCAAGAAGGTCTCTATCCGAGGCACAATGATATAAATCTTTGTGATAGCGTCTGGTTTTCTCCTACAATAGATCGCAGGATATTACATCATCACAATGTCGAGCTCGATTTCATTCGAGGAGGAGTGGGAGGCAATGGTTGATATAGACTTAACGGTAGCCTCAACACTGACAAGTAGAAGGAGGTGAGCACGTACAATATGGAGAAGGTGGTCAAAAAGAAGACGAATAAAACAAGGTTTTTGGGCTGCCACGGGGTGAGATGACACCAAGATGAATAAAACAAGGTTTTTGAACCATGACCTTGGTGATTATTTCAAAGACAAGATTCAAGAGACATATTGGCCAAGATGACAATGGTGTCTTCTTGAAAGAATGCGGAAGTATAGGCCAATATGTCTCTTGAATCTTGTCTTTGAGATAATCAGTAAGGTCATGGTTAAACACTAATTGCAGTCATAAAAGGGGGGATTAGTGTTCTCAAACAACCTTCCTAAAAGGGAGATACAAATTTGAGGGGATACTGATTCCCCATGAAACACTAAAAAAACTGGATAGAGTAAAAGAGTCTATGGTGTCCTTCTAAAACTGACTTTGGAAGCTTTTGACATGGTCAAATGTCCTTCTCTCCTCCAAACTTGGAACTGAAAGGCTTCCCTCCAAATGGAATACATTTTCATTTTAGTGATCCAATATCACATTGAGTCCATAGGCATTGCCACTACTATCAAAAGGGGGCTAGGATGTGGTGAAAGATCGTGGATGTCGCCTAGAGGTGGGGGGGAGGGTGAATAGGCGTTTTAAAATAATTACGGTTTAGGCTTGAACAAATGCGGAATAAACCTAGCGGTTAATTTGTCAAGCACAAAACCTAAAACAACTAGGCTCACCTATGTGCACCAACAACTTATGCTAAGCAAGATAAGCAACTAAGTGATAGCAAGATATATGACAAGAAACAATATGACTATCACAAAGTAAAGTGCATAAGTAAAGGGCTCGGGTAAGAGATAACCGAGGCACGCGGAGACGATGATGTATCCCAAAGTTCACACCCTTGCGGATGCTAATCTCCGTTTGGAGCGGTGTGGAGGCACAATGCTCCCCAAGAAGCCACTAGGGCCACCGTAATCTCCTCATGCCCTCGCACAATGCAAGATGCCGTGATTCCACTAAGGGACCCTTGAGGGCGGTCACCGAACCCGTACAAATGGCAATCCTTGGGGGCGGTCACCGAACCCGTACACTTTGGCAACCCTTGGGGCGGTCACCGGTACCCGTCAAATTTCTCGGGGTGATCTCCACAACCTAATTGGAGACCCCGATGCTTGCTTGGAGCTTTACACCACAATGATTGAGCTCCGAACACCACCAACCGTCTAGGGCGCTCAAGCACCCAAGAGCAACAAGCTCAAGGGTACCAAGCACCCAAGAGTAATAAGCTTCTCAACTTGTAACTTTCACGTATCACCATGGAGAACTCAAACCGATGCACCAAATGCAATGACAAGGGCACACGGAGTGCCCAAGTCCTTCTCTCTCAAATCCCACCGAAGCAACTAATGCTAGGGAGGAAAATGAGAGGAAGAACAAGAAGGAGAACACCAAGAACTCCAAGATCTAGATCCAAGGGGTTCCCCTCACATAGAGGAGAAAGTGATTGGTGGAAATGTGGATCTAGATCTCCTCTCTCTTTTCCCTCAAAAACTAGCAAGAATCCATGGAGGGATTGAGAGTTAGCAAGCTCGAAGAAGGTCAACAATGGGGGAAGAAAATGAGCTCAAAGGATAAGGTTCATTGGGGAAGAAGACCCCCTTTTATAGGAGCTCCCGAATCCAACGGTTATGTGCTCAGCCCGCACACGAGCGGTACTACCGCTCCACGAGCGGTACTACCGCTGGAGGAGCGGTACTACCGCTTAGCATGGTCAAAACACCCCAATGAGAGAGAGCGGTATGAGCGGCACTACCCCTGTAGCCAGCGGTACTACCGTTGGCCGTAGCGGTACTGCCGCTTGGCCCAGCGGTACTACCGTTGGCCGTAGCGGTACTGCCGCTTGGCCCAGCGGTACTACCGCTCCTACTGCTGCTCCTACTGCCGCTGAACCCGACACGAGAAGAGCAGGACCCAAAAATCGAGGCGGTAGAAGAGCGGCACTGCAGTGGTACTACGGCTGAGAGCTCCAAGTGGTACTACCGCTGGGACCAGACAAAAGCCACTCTCAAGAAACAAGAACTGCCATAACTTCTTCATACGAGCTCCGAATTGAGCAAACTCAAGCTTGTTGGATACAAGACGACGAGTAGCATCAAAACTGTTGGAACTATGCCCTAGAGGTAATAATAAATTGATTATTATTATATTTCCTTGTTCATGATAATCGTTTATTATCCATGCTAGAATTGTATTGATAGGAAACTCAGATACATGTGTGGATACATAGACAACACCATGTCCCTGGTAAGCCTCTAGTTGACTAGCTCGTTAATCAATAGATGGTTACGGTTTCCTAACCATGGACATTGGATGTCATTGATAACGGGATCACATCATTAGGAGAATGATGTGATGGACAAAGACCCAATCCTAAGCCTAGCACAAGATCATGTAGTTCGTATGCTAAAGCTTTTCTAATGTCAAGTATCATTTCCTTAGACCATGAGATTGTGCAACTCCCGGATACCGTAGGAGTGCTTTGGGTGTGCCAAACGTCACAACGTAATTGGGTGGCTATAAAGGTACACTACAGGTATCTCCGAAAGTGTCTGTTGGGTTGGCACGAATCGAGACTGGGATTTGTCACTCCGTGTAAACGGAGAGGTATCTTTGGGCCCACTCGGTAGGACATCATCATAATGTGCACAATATGATCAAGGAGTTGATCACGGGATGATGTGTTACGAAACGAGTAAAGAGACTTGCCGGTAACGAGATTGAACAAGGTATCGGGATACTGACGATCGAATCTCGGGCAAGTGTCGTACCGATAGACAAAGGGAATTATATACGGGATTGATTAAGTCCATGACATCGTGGTTCATCCGATGAGATCATCATGGAACATGTGGGAGCCAAAATGGGTATCCAGATCCCGCTGTTGGTTATTGACCGGAGAGTCATCTCGGTCATGTCTGCATGTCTCCCGAACCCGTAGGGCCTACACACTTAAGGTTCGGTGATGCTAGGGTTGTAGGGATATGTATATGCAGTAACCCGAATGTTGTTCGGAGTCCCGGATGAGATCCCGAACGTCATGAGGAGTTCCGGAATGGTCCGGAGGTAAAGAATTATATATAGTAAGTGCTATTTCGGCCATCAGGACAAGTTTCGGGATCACCGGTATTGTAACGGGACCACCGGAAGGGTCCCGGGGGTCCACCGGGTGGGGCCACCTGCCTCGGGGGCCACATGGGCTGTAGGGGGTGCGCCTTGGCCTATATGGGCCAAGGGCACCAGCCCCAAGAGGCCCATGCGCCAAGAGATAAGGAAGGGAAGAGTCCCAAAAGGGGAAGGCACCTCCTAGGTGCCTTGGGGAGGAGGGATTCCTCCCTTGGCCGCCGCCCCCTCCTAGGAGATTGG